ATTATTATTATTATTATTATTATTATTATTAATAATACTGTTATTTGTAAAATAATGTGTGAAATTGTCATACTTTCCACAGCTCACCACGTATTTTCCTGCCAACATAACTGTGCTGGCCATTGCAGTGTTTTCCCTGCAGCAAGGGTAAGGGAAGAAGTGCCATGCGTTCTCAACAACTTGCATTCTTTAACACAAGTTTCATTTTCGCCTGCATGACGTTCTGGCTCTAGTTGTTCGATTCCTCGTACATGATTTGACATTGATGGTATTTTATGCCATTTCGTGCCCGAGACGGTTGCGTATACATCCAAGCGAATGGGGTGAAGACATTGGCAACAATGCTGAGCCCCTGGGTTATGAGACAGAGCCATTTTTGCACCTTCATACAGACGACCATTCCCAGAGTGGTTACAGATGTATAGTTTCATGGCTACTTGTATTCACAGCTGAATCAGAAATTCTATAATATATATTTTTTTCCTCTTTGCATTCCCATTCTATTGAAGATTGACACCTCCAGTGACAGTTATTCAGGAGAAGGAAGGCAGAGAGGCCACCATGGTGAGTTCCTAGCAAAGACCTGATGCTACTCGTCACATTAGTGGTGTGAGCATGATGCGGTTCCGCGCGGGCTCGTGGCCCCTCCTCTTCATCCCGCAACACCTGGGGCGCGAACCCGGGTCTCCGGCGTAACGCCACAGGGAACCAGCCAAGTGAGCTGAAGGGAGACCTCCCCCAGCCCAGGCGGCTGAGGCCCCTGCTACGCACAGGGGGGGCCATGACGTCACCGTGCCCAAACTAGCTCCGCTACAGTGGCCGTTATAAAGATGTCTGTCCTGCTTTCCCTCCCTTGCTACCGGCTAAGACAGACCAACAGCTGGGTGGCTGGAGGCTTCTTCTCCTGCCTACTTATCAGTCAAGACTTCTTAGCACTGGAGCAACATTTATCACTGGTTTTCAACCAAACAAGGCTTCACTTTTGGCACGGTAATGTCATGGCTGTTGTAGTACCTTTACCTTTTACCACGGCTATTTTGTTGGGTGGCTGTAGTTGAGCCTTTAGAGCCAGGCAATAGCTCAAAACACCCTGCAAAATAAGCTCTTGGAGAAAAAAGCACAAGCTGACTGTGTGTCTTGCTCTGCTAAAACACAATCCACTGGAATAAACCGATGCAACATTGAAAAACAAATTTAAGCACTTTCTTTTTTTTCAGGCCAGAGAGATTAGGACTACTTCCCCAATAAAAGTAAGGTAAGATCCTTGAACTTCAGTCTCAACTGAAGTGATGTGCTTTCCTTTTCTATCTGGCAGTGTTATTCCTCATTTTATTTTTGTGTATCAGATACAGAAGGATTAAATTAGCTGATTACATTTAGTATAAATGAGCCATTATCCTTGTGTGCCAAAGAATATATTTACTCTTTAATGTAAGGCACATCATCAACCAGAGCTGCTAACATTTGTGGGGAGAAACCAAAGGTGGGAGGGATTGGTTTTGGGGGTTCAAGGACACCCAGAGGCACTCAGCATTCCTGGGTGGCCTACAGTTGGGAGATCACTTTTCCTAAGATGCAAAGAAAGAACCAGATGGGATAATCTAACTGAATGACCACTGTAAATGACCTTTTATTCATTTGTCATTACTGCCCCTGCTAGTTACGGTTGCTTCGTCTCTGTGAAGGTGATCCCCAGCTCTGAGGTGCTTCTAACTAAGGAGGAGGTTACACGGCTGCTCAGATATAACTTCACCCACAACGGTATCACTGTTGGGGCAGAGAGTGCCAACATCAGTGTCAAGTCTTCCGGTATGTGCAGCTGATCTGTTCCACCCCACTCACTTCCAGAAATGCGGAAATGAAGACGATTGCTATCTAATGTAACACACAACAGCTGACAGCTCTTTCCTTGTTCCCCGCAGACGAGAGTTCCCGTGTTACAGAAGCTTCTCCTATTGTATGCAGACTTGGAGCTACAACTGTTCCTCCAACAGTACATGCTACCGGAGGCACTGTGACATCAGGTTAACATCCATCCATTGTCTAACTGCTTCATCCAAAAGCAACAGGCACATGGCCATGAGGGAAATAAGCCTGGGTCACAGTTATTCAAATTGGTTGACCTTTGGTTCTGGTTGGTGAGCTGTAGCTCATCCAGCTATGGTTTCTTACTGACCAGCCCTTCACTGTAGCAGCTCCTGATGCAGCTCCTGGTGCACAATCATCTAACTTGTGTGCTCTTTTTGTCATTATGTTTGGGTGTCATAGTGGTGTTTTATAGTTTATCGGGGAAAATAAATCTCGAGTCATCAGGTGCCTCTGATGACAGTTCAGTACTGGTTGAGTAATCGCCTTGGAAGATCACTGTCCACTCTGTAAAATATAGGGATGTAGGAG